CCTTATCATCTCATGAATAGATTATTGCAATAACCTGCTATCTATATCCATGACTCTACCTGCTCTACTCCAAACCATTCTCCAACAACTAAGTGATTTTCCTAAAACACTTATCTTATCATGTTACCCTTCTACTCAGTACACTCTAGTGACTTCAGGAGCAAATACAAAATGCTCTGTTTGGCATCTCTCATTACCTAGCCCCCTCCTATCTGTCTAGTCCACTTACACCTTACTCCCCAACATATACTCTTCAATCCAGTGACACTGCGCACCATGCTGTTTCACGAACAAGACACTCCATCTCTCGGCTCTGGGCATTTTTTTTGACTAATGTTCTCCTTCCTCTGTTCTGTCTGCTGTCCTCCCTGGTTTCTTTTAAGTCCCAACAAAAATCTGCTTTCTATAGGAAGCCTTCTCTATTCCTTCTTAATTCCAATGTTTTCCCTCGTTTAATTATTTCCTATTTATCTTGTTCATATCTTCCATTTTATGTTTGTTTTCATGTTGTCTCTCCCCTTAGATTGTACCTTGGTCAAAAAGGCACCACAAAAAGGCACTTTGGAGTCAACTACGCTCCATCTCCTAGCTGAACTTTTCTCATAACCTGCTCCTGTTTGTCTTAAACTGACCTCCACGATGCAGGATTTATCATTATAATGTTTCCTAATCTCAACAAAATCTGACTTATTCTCAAGTCTCTGACTTTGTGTCTTTAAGTTTAATTTTGAACCAATCTATGCCTGTGCTAAAAACAAGCTTAAAGATCTTTAGTATTTTGTTATTATTATTTTGAATTTTAGTTCTGTAACTAATATGTTGCTTGTTCTTTTCTTGAATCCAGTGTCCTAAAACCAACTTAAAAAATAAAAAAAGATTCCAAGTCTGTTTATTTACTTAAGAAGGGACATGAGGGGAAATGAGTCTCAGTTTCCTCATCTCTCTAATGAGAGAAAATATATTTGTATTATCTATCCAGGTTCCTTCACTACCATAGTTTTCATTATCAGCTCTTTGAAGATGTTTCCCTGATACCTCATTTGGGCTCCAGTTTTACAACTCCAGCTACTTTCAAAATATTTTTACCTGGATATCCTGCCTGTGCCTCAAATTCAACATGTTTAAAATTAAACTTGTCCTCACTTCTTCAAATCTTGCCCAGTCTCCCAACTTCCTTCTATCTTTTTTATTTGGAACCACTGTCCTCCTTTTCCTTTCCTATACTCTCCCACCCCCACTGCTCCTAATCAATAGTAAAGTACAGTCATGTTCCTGCTTAGAACAGGATTTGAACTCAGAGCTTCCTAATTCCAAGTTGAGTACTCTATTTTCTTTATTGTCTAATATTTGTTAAGGGCCTGCAATGGGCAAAGAATTATGCTAGGGTCACTGAAGATACAAAGGCAAAAAGTAAACAGTTATGCCCTGAAGTAGCTTACATTCTAATTACATTATACTACATTTCAATATATAATAACAATAAAACAATTTTAAAATGATGTACTAATATTAACTGATCATTAATTAATACTATTGCTATTAATATTTTAATGGAGTTCAGAGCAAATAAAATATGAAGAAATGTAAATATCCAGATATAATCTGAGTTTTACTTTTTAGTGTTGTTACTGCTTAATCTCCCCCCGGCTAGTTCTCCTCAACCATTTCTTGAATGAAATTTTACAGACACACACACACACACACACACACACACAAGAATTATGTGATACATACATATACATATATCTATATTTCTATCTACATATATACACAGATATGTATATGTGTGTTTAATTTAAGAAAAGGCATTAACGTATATGCATGGATGTTCTGGGTCTGCTTCTAGCCCTTCAGGGCAGCTCTATGTGAAATGACTTGTGAGCTGCTTTTCCTTTTGTCCTCATCCTTCTCATTTTCATCTGACTGCTAAGTCACCCTCTGTCTCTTTTCTTAAAGAAGAAAAACTGACTCATGGAACAAGGCAAAAGACAGACGTGAGCAATGTTATAATGCACCATGCATCGAGCTGGTCGGTGCTAGTTGTCGTCAACTTCTAATGACAAGAGGCTAATTTTTTAGACAACTGGCTTCTCAATCATCCAAAGCCCCTCCCAGGCAGCTTGAAATTAGCATATGATTGGTTTTTCTGCAATACTTCAAGATGGCTGCCCCACAGATCTCCAACGAACTGTTTTTAAAGGCACCCCCACTTTACCTCACTTGTCAAATTAACTTTTAAAAAGATTTTTAAACAGAACATCAATAGGATTTTAAACTGAGTTACACAATGGTTTCTCTACATTTCTTAACTATAGTGAGATGGTTCTCCTAAGCTATTTCCCCTTCTTTTCTTAGGTTGATGGATAGTTTCTGGGGACAGCTAGGTGGCACAGTGGATAGAGCACCGGCCGTGGAGTCAGGAGGATCTAAGTTCAAATCCAGCCTCAGACACATACCAGCTGTGTGACCCTGGGCAAGTCACTTAACCCCATTGTCTAGCCAAAAAAAAAAAAAAAAGTTACTGAAAGCAGGGTGGGTCATTGATGTATAACGGGAGGTTGTGGAAGATAGCAGCACCTCTGCCACAAGGAAAGATTGCTGCTAAAGGTAGCTGAATGGCATTGGCAATTACATTTCTTCATTATTTCTCATCCCCTGACCGGAGCCTACTAATTGCTGCTGGCAATAGTGAGTTAGACATGTAGTGAGTTAGACAGCTGCACAGGATACACCCTTGCCTGTTGGCGTCTTAGTCACTAGGAATCACTGGAGACTTCTTGGCTACATTCTTGCAATCAGAATCCATAGGTCAAACCTGTGCCAGGTTTGTTTTCAGAATCATCCAGATGCCAGCCCTTCTCTCAGTAACAAACCGGGCTTTTAAGCCAGTACTAGGCGACTAGTTAGAAGTGCTAAAAGATAATGCTTTTGCCTCAGACTCTTTGTCATCAATGAATTGTCATTTTTTTCAGCCATGTTTCTTAAGCAGTTTAATAAATGGATCCAGCATTAGGCAGTGCTAAGAAGATGCTAGTGCTGGGTTCCTTTCAACTCAACAACATGATGGAGTGAACACAATTATCTGCACCTTGATTTGGTTACTCATAAGCCTGTCTCTTCTCCTAGTGCCTAACCCAAAGCTAAAGCATTGTAGATGCTCAAAAGGAGAGGCCAGTCAGTATAAACAGCATTAGACTTAAGGTGTCCTGACTCCACCACCTACTGATCACTCAGTACTTATTAAGTACTCAGTTTTTGTTTGCTTGTTTGTTTTGCAACCTTCAATGATGTGTTGCAGTTTCTATTATTTCTTTGCATAATCAAAAAGTAAAACAGATCATTAAGTTCAGGTTCCTTAATGATGTTTCTATAACTTCTGCTCACCTGATTGGTCTTGGATTACTGTGATAAAACCCTTTTCTGGACACAAGTATGCATGACTCAACCATTTATACAAAGTTTCTTTATTAATATATTATTGGTTGAGTTCATCCGGATGTTGCCCAAGAGTGGCTTTTTGATTCAATTCTTTTATCTTGGTATTTTCTTAGGATCCATTAAGAGGTGAACCAGTTTCATTTATATACCTGCAGCTAGACAGCACAGTGCATAAAGAACTGGGCCTGGTATTAGGAAGACCTGAGGTCAAATTTGAATTCAAACATTTACTAGCTATGTGACCCTAGTCAAGTCTCTTAATCTTTTTGATTCAGTTTCCTCACTTGTAAAATGGGGGTAATAATTGTGCATACCTCCCAGGGTTGTTCTGAAGATTAAATGAGATAACATTTGTAAAGCACTTAGCACAATACCATCACATTGTAGGCACTATGTAAGTTCTATTATTATTGGTATTTTATTCAACAAATTCAGTGGCCATGATTCTTACTGTCACAGCAGTCATCACAAAAACTATTGTGCGTAGGTCCTGAAATGTGTTTAGACTTTCCATCAAATATTGTTAAAGAATTCATTTGCTCATAATATTGGTAAGACAGCAAATTGGGATGGGGGGGCAGTTACATTGTTTTAGTATAGTTAGTCTAGGATTTGTACTATGAGAGAATTATGGAAATTATGGGAAACAAACTGACTTTATCTTGTAAAACTAAGTCCATTTTGAGACCTAAGTTTCATTTTCCTATAAATTTCATCTGCTTGATAGCCGTGGGAATTGAGTGACAGCCAGTTTCACATCCAAAAAAGTCTGCCTATTCACTCTCCCCTCTTCCAACTATCAAAATTCATTCATCCTTCTCCCGACTCAGAAAGTTCCTAATCTTTCCTCTAATTAGAAATCAGATTACCTAATATTATATCCTGATTTGTATCCTGTTGTTTCATTTTAATGCATAAAAATCTGTTTCCCCTTGTCTGCAGGGTCCAAAGCTAAATTGAAGAGGCCTGGTCCTGATTTGTTATGCAATTGGTATGAATTGTTTAATAAATTTATGTGCTTAGAAGCTCAAACCTTTGTTTCTTCAGTCATTTCAAACAATTCACATGCCACAGTTTTTGGTAAAGCCATCCAGGACAAGACAGGACTCAGATCCCTAGGATGGTTTTCAGAAACTTTGCAGAAGACTTTCCTGAAGGTTGGACTCCCCCCTCACTGTTTGTTGGGGAAAGCAAATCTTCCACATTACTTGTTGAAGAAGAATTGGGAAAGCTCCCACATTGCTGGGAAAGGTTAGCCTCAACACAGCTGGAGAAGGTAAGCCCCCCCCCATAGTTTAGAGCAGGTGTTTCCCTGGAAGTTTCTTTAAGTGAATAGGTTTAGGTAAACATCCTCAAAGTAGGAGAAGTCCCCTTAGGGAACTAAGCTAGAGTAAGCCTCCACATTGTTAAGGAAATTCCCTTGGGGAAATTATGGTATCTGGGAGTAGCATCCCAATGGGAAACCCCCTGGACAAACTTTTTTTGGCATGAGACCAGGGGAAGAATGCACTGTTAAATTGACACTCTCTTAGGAAAATTCCCATACTGTAGTGGAAGGGCTAACAAAAAATTTGAGGTCTCGAATTATGCTAAAATACATAAAAATACAAATGGATCCCAAAATTGGCCTGAAGAGGGGACTTTTAATTATAGAAAATTAAAGGCTTTGAGATTAAACTTTCAGTAGGAGACAAGGAAGCTAGTAAGTATAGATTTGTTTTATTTTCGTCTGTGTTTTTGTTTCTTCGCAAAAGGCTCAGAAAAAAATCATTGTCTTATGTTATGCTTACTGTTGTTTGTAATTCTGCTATCTTGAAAGATTTCTAAGGGGAAAATTCAGCTAGCCAGAAAGACTGCTAAAAATCTGCAGCCAAAGGTTTAGTATGCTGGGAAAAATTAATAAAGTTTTATCTGAAGTAGTTCTCCCCACTTTCTGTAATCTGATACCAAACTCTCTGTCCCAGTAAGTAGGACCAACCCCACATTAGGATTGCAGTGGGGGATCAGGTTAAAAAGGAGAAAAGGCTGTGCAAGATATTTCTCTCTGTCATTTCAGCCCAGGCCAGGATGGTGTTACAGATAAAGTCAGTAATCAAAGAAAGGAAAATTTGTTCCTGGTTTGTGGCACTATAAATGAGTTAAAGATTCCAAATTATGGTTTCTGCTAAAAACATCTTAGTAGATTTTGAAGGTTTAGAGATTAAGGAGAATGGAGATTTATCATTAAGGAGTTTGGAGATTAATCATTTCAAGACTGTGGGGGAGAACTCTTGGGACTTTAGGTAATTCTAGGAACTCATCCCCTTCTTTTTGTCCTGATAAGACACTTAGCAAAAGCTTAACTATGCTGAAATATCTTAGTGAGTTTTGGGGTATCTTTCTTTAGAATTTGTCTTAAGGAAAAATAAGAATTAAATTATGTAGAAGTTCCAAGGGTAAAAAGCACTTAAATCACATTTTCCCTGAAAACTAATAGATCTATTGTTTTAGTTTAACAAAGGAAGGCAGCTAGTTTGAAAGTGGTCCCAGAGTGAAGAAAAAAAAAAGATGTCAGTGATTAAAAACTGCCTCTTATTAACGCTTTCTATCATAAAAAGATAAAAGCTTGTTTAATTCAGGGAACAACTTAAAAATGAATAAAGTTTAATTAAGGAATTGAAAGGGTGATTGAATTCAAAGAGGGGTCAATGAAGAGGGACTGCCTACCCAATCCCTACTATTGCCTGGCTCCAGACCCTGTTCTGGATAATGGGGATAGATATTCACAATGACAGGAAAGGATGAAGTGACCATGAACCAACAATGACTTTTGGGAAGCATCAAGTAGAATTTTTAAAGCATTTTATAAGAGAATGAATTGTTTAGATAAATTAGAAGCAAGGTCAACAAAGAAAATCAGAAAGAAACCGTATATTTGTAAGCTCTTAAGAATCCCAAAATTGCAATTAATCAGGGTTATATAAAATTTTGCACAAAATTATAAAGGAGAAAAATTTATGGAATAAAGATTATATATTTGATATTTGACTTATAATTATGATTATAATATTAGATATTTTACATATGATACATAATTAGGAAATGCAGTATACTGCCCTGAAAGATCATTCTGGGAGATTATTTTCCAGTCTTTAGAATCTCATGAGCTCCAAAGCAAGGGAATATGAATACAAGACAGCCACTTGGAGTCACTCCCTATTTTCTATCCTCCTACACTTTTCACCACTTAAAATTGAAAATCCTTAGGGAAAGAGAGGGTGGAGTTAGATTATGAACACAAAAGGAATTGATGTAGCTCTTTGGCTGATTTTTGAAAGAAACTAAAATGAAAATTTTATGGAAAGGTGAAAGTGCTAATGTGAACCTTTGAAAATGAGTTAATTCTTAACTTGGAGTTCTAAATTTTAAAAAGCAGGTTCCTAATAGCCTTGGAAAATTGAGGTTTTTGATTTTGTGATTGAAAAGTCAATTTTTATATGGGGAGATCTGTCTTGTAGCTAAAGTATGAGGTGGTGAAATGTGTTCTTTTAATTGTGGTATCAAAAGGAAAAAATAAAGCTTGAAAAATACAGGGAAACCTCAGTTACAATACAGTTTCAGAAATTTATTAGCTGTGTGAACTTAAGCTCTTCTATCTGTTTATCTCAGTTTCCTGATCTATAAAGGGTAAAATAATAATGATACCCACCTGCTAGGGTTGTTGTGAGGATCAAAATGATATGCTGATTGTGAAGTGCCTACCACAGTGACTAGCACATGATAAGTACAATATAAATATTGACTGTCATTATTATTATTTCTTTAATTAAATGTAATTACTTCATACTTGATAACTCTATACAGAGCTTTAGATGTGATTAGTATAAAATGACAAAAGTGATTAAAAAATGATTTTGATGTAAGATAATTTGGAAATGCATTTGACTGAAATGGGCCCTAACTAGTATCTGACTAGTAATTAGTTTTATTTTATGTTTTAGAAGCATGATATTGTGTCAGAAATACTGTCAGACAAATAACTCTTTTATAATCTGGATACTGTTAGATCATGAATTGAGTTGTAAAAAGAATGTAATAAAAATAGATATTTTAAAACTGTTAAATATTGAATAGAACTTATTTTGTTTTAAAACTAACAATCATGATAATAATAATAACAGACTGTAGAAAAAGTTGCATAGGTCCTCCAAGATGAATTTATCTTTGAGGATCCTTGATGGTTATCTTCAGGCAGGATCATAAGATCTTATCAGCCCTAATGACCCCATGTTGCAAAATCTAAAGTGCTGAAGTTTGAGAACCTAAAACTGAGAGAATAGAATCCCCTCTCCCACTGCTTGTCAAAGGAGGCAGAATTTATAAGTTTACCATAATAGTAAGTTTTGATGTGAAAATTTTGGACTATCATTTATAAAAATTATGAAATATATAGGGAGGTTTAAAGATGTAATTTCAATAAATTAATATGAATCAACTATGAGATATTTACTATGTGTCTAAAACCCTAGAATATGGTTAGTTCTAATTTATAAGTAAAAGATAAATGAAATGTAACTGTTAGGGAAACAAAAAAGTTAATAATATTCAAGGACTAAGCTGTGATTAGCGAAATTTTTCTACTACAGCTAAAAACTCTTGGAACTATAATTAAATATTAATTTGAATTTTGATTACAAAGTGGTTGTCATGAAACCAATAGTAGAAAATGGCATGTGCTACAGTCTGAGAATTACTACAGGTGGATGTCTATCCCTGGCAAAAATTGAGAGAATGACCTTGGTATAGCCTAAGGCAAGATTTTCTTGACTCAGTTTCTCCATTGTGCTATTTCCTTTCTTTCTTTTCTAAAATTTTTTTAACATTTTTATTTAAAGTTATGAGTTCCAAATTCTATCCCTTCCTCCCTCTCTCCCATTCCCTCCCCATTCCCTGAGATGATAAGCAATCAGATATAGGTTATACATGTGCAATTAGGTAAAACATTTCCGTATTAGTCATTTTGTACAAAAAGACTCAAAAAAAAGTAGAAAATGGCATACTTCAGTCTGTATTCAGTAAATATCAGTTCTTTTTCTGGAGGTGGATAGTACACTTCATCATTAGTCCTTTGTAATTGTCTTGGATCATTATTGTATTGCTGAGAATAGCTAAGTCATTCACAGTTCTTCATCAAAAAATATTGTTGTTACTGTGTACAATGTTATCCTGGTTCTGTATACTTCACTATGCATCAGTTCATATAAGTCTTCCCAGGTTTTTCTTAAATCATCCTGCTTGTCATTTCTTATAGCACAGTGATATTCCACTACAATCATATACCACAGTTTATTTAGCCATTCCCCAAATGACTTGTATCCCTTTGATTTATAATTCTTAGCCACCGCAAAAAGAGTTGCTATAAATATTTTTGTACATATAGGTCCTTTTCCATTTTTTTGGATGTCTTTGGGATAAAGACGTAGCAGTGATATAACTTGATCAAAGGGTATGCACAGTTTTAAAGCCTTTTGGACATAGTTCCAAATTTCTCTACAGAATGGTTAGATCAGTTCACAACTCCATCAATGGTGCATTAGTGTCCCAGTTTTCCCACATCCCCTCTAACATCCAACGTTTTCCTTTTTTGTCAGATTAGCCACTCTGATAGGTGTGAAGTGGTACCTTAGAGTTGTTGTAATTTGCATTTCTCTAATCAAAAGTGATTTAGAACATTTTTTCATATGACTATAGATAGCTTCAATTTCTTTGTCTGAAAACTGCCTGTTCATATTCTATGATCATTTATCAATTGGGGAATTACTTCTATTTTTATAAATTTAACTCAGTTCTCTATATATTGAGAAATGAGGCCTTTATCAGGGATACTTGTTGCAAATTTCCCCCCTTCCCACTTTTCTGCTTTCCTTCTCATCTTGGTTTCATTGGTTTTGTTTGTGCAAAAAACTTTAAAATTTTATGTAATCAAAATAATCTATTTTACATTTTGTAATGCTCTGTCTTCTTTGGTGCTAAATTCTTCCCTTATCCATAAGTCTGACAAATGAACTATTCCACACTCTTAATTTACTTATGGTATCACCCTTTGGGTATAAATCATATACCCATTTTGACCTTATCTTGGTATACAGTTGTTGTTTGTCCTTCTTTCTTGAAGAGGACTATGGCAGGAAAGTAATGCCATGACTTGCAAGGATATTACATTTAAGTGAGGGAGGGCTGTGCAAAATTACCAGACTCATGTTCTCCTCTGGAACTGTCTGGGTCCAGTGGCAAGATATCAATCAGATGGCCCTGGATGTAATGGGAGACCTTGGCCTTTTTAAGTTGGGGATCTTTCCCATATTTCAATTTGACTGAGGCAGCATTCGGGTGATTATGGCTAGGTAAGAAATGAGATGAAAACAGAAACAATTGCTATTTACATTCACTCTGAGTCATCAGGGCCCAAACAATGACCACTAAGTGAGGCCTGGGTTGGGACTTATTAGGTTGGATTTGGCCAATCCATGAGAAAGAGAAAGAGAATGAGAGAGAGAGAGAAGGGGTGGAGAGAGAGAGAGAAGGGGTGGAGAGAGAGAGAGGAAGGAGAGAGGGGGGAAGGGAGGAGCTGCATTGCCCAATTGGCAACCCTTACTACTCAGAGGTTTTTGTTTGTCTTTTGTTCTCAGAGGACCATGGCATCAGGAAGGTGATGCCATTGAC